TCTCTGATACAAGTTTGTGAGATATGATTTCCTATGCACAAAGCTATCTTGAATGATGGAGCAAGCTCAAAGGGTTGAATGGCCTACTTCTGCTCCTGTTCTCAAGGTTTTTATGTTTCTGCATTTGTTGCAAGAGGAATTTAATATAAAAGTAGCAAAGATTTGCTCCAACTGTATAGAGAGTGCTGAGATCACACCTACAATATTGAGTGCAGTTTTGGTCTTTTTACTTAAGGAGGGATATACTTGTATTGGAAGCAGTCAGAAAAAGTGAATTAGACTGATTACTGGAATGAAGGGACTGTCTTATGATAAAAGTTTGAATAGGTTAAATCTAAGTTCAGTGGAGTTTAGATGAATGAGAGGCGATCTTATAAGATTCCAACCTGGGGCTGAAATAAGGAGAAATTTCTTCTCTCACAGGGTCAATTGTCTTTGGAATGTTCTTCCACAGCCTGCAATTGAGGCTGCATTGTTGAATACATTCAAGGCTGAATTGGACAAGTTTTTGATCAATAAGGGAATCAGAGGTTATTGGAGACAAGAAACACGGAGTGAGTCCACAACTGAATCGGCAATGATCTATGTTGAATGGTGGAGTAGACTTCAAGGCCAAATGCGCCATTCCTCCTCCAGAAGGCGTTGGAGCTGGGAAGGAATGTGATTCTATGAATAATGGCTTCTCTTTGGCTCCTCAACTTTTGCAATGAGCAGCAACAGGCTAACTGACTGGCACAGGTCCATAATTTGCCCATACATTTCATGGTACTGGACAGCAAGTGCAAGAGGACTCGGCTGTTTTTCCCTTCTTAAACATGGGGTGCATTGAGTTTGACTGCAGTAACTCAGCACAGGTCGGGCACTAAAGTTCAGACTTTCTCAGTTATGAGAAGCTTATGAGTCAGCTTTCCATACAAACATACAAATTTACTGAATAAATTGACTAGCAAAATGATTTGGTTTAGGTGCTGTTTGATGGGCTCTTACCTGTGCATTCTTCTTCTCCTTGTGAAGGTCATTCAGAGCAAGTTGAACTGCTTCAACATTGTTGCGAATCTTCTGAAGCTGATGTTGTAAATGATTCTAAAGTGAGAACATTGAAGACATTGCAAACATTATGAAAGCCAGGTTTGAGTGCAAAGGATGATTGTCACCATGTTATGATGGTTTCATATTTAATCACTTTTATGGGAAGTTAAGTTTGAGGGATTGTGCATACTTTTTTTTAAGAGGTCAGTGAAAGGTATCTGGAGCCTTTTTTCGAACAAGGTAATTCTTGTCTTCTCATAACTGCTCATTTCCTGGAGTCTTCCCATTTGAGTTTACAATTGGTCAGATTCCAGTTTCTGTTTGTAGATGTTGTTTGGAATAATTTGGGACAGATGAAAGACAGAAACTTTCCAGTTCAACTCCTCCATCTCTCAAAAAGAACCCTTGTTGCATGTTCAGTCTGGTATCTTGAGCCCTTGTTCCCCGTTAAAAGCTTCTGAAAGAGTTTGTCAACATTTCATGAGCGATTGTGTCTACAAAGATCCCAGAGGCCACTGCATGTGTTCAGCAACATCTATCTGTGTGCCAGCATATCAGACCAACAGTCTTCTGAGCATCTTAAACATTATCCATTTTGCTTTCAAGAGCTAAGAATTATTAGCTAAAAGAATTTGTTTTTTATCTGCAGAGAGAAAGCCATTTTTTCACCTTTACCTGGTATGTGCATATGAATTCCTCTGGTTTAGGATTTCAAAAGGAGCATTAATATTTTCAGATTGCAAACTGCGTGTTACCCAATTTTGCATCTTCATGGTATTAAGTTTGGTTTTACAGCAAATCAATAAGCTTGTGCTCATTAATAAAAACATATTGGTGGATCTTTTTTATTCTAAGTCTAATATGGAGAAAGCATCAGATTAACCATATCAGGAACCTGGAAAAACAACTATACTGATGTTGCGGGGTTAAAAAGACCCTTCACCATCTCGGTCACAGAACTATTTCCATTTTGGTCTCAATAAAATCAAGATGCATGGTAAAAAGCAGCACATAGCTCATATTAGAAACATTCACTATTGAGTAGAATTGAAGACTTATGCAAAAATAGCAAGTGTCATGAAAATCAAAGGAGAAATCAAAAGTACAAGGGATACTCAATAAGAAACCAAGCAAGAAGGAGAGTGCAGAAGTGGAAAAACCATTGGCCTACTTGTAGCCAGAGAATTAACAGTCTGGTCCTTACAGCCAAAAGGTTGCCTTTGATAGAAATAGCTTCTAGTAGGGCACAGGTATAGACATAAGATAAGATATGATACCAGTACAAAGCAGAATCTGTTTGTCTCTGTTGAAAGCACCTTCATCTCTGGTTAGAATATTGTGGATGGAGTCCCATTCTAGGCTGACACTAAGGGAATTTTACATTGTTCTATCCTTCAGGTCAGATGTTGTTATTCCGATAATTCAGTTGGCCATTGAAGGTCCCACTCAAAGAGCAGAACATTCTGATACCATGGCCAACATTTCTCCCTTAGTCAATATTATCAGAACTGCTGTGTGAGACATTGTTGGGACAAAACGGCACCTCTAAAAGTAATTCATTACGTGAAAAGATTTTAAATGCTACAATATGTTTGGCACTAGGTGAAGCAGCTTTTACAATCTGCCATGACCATAAACAACTGCACCTCCCAGTCGCGAACCATTTCAACTCCCCCTCCCATTCCTCAGACGACATGTCCATCCTGGGCCTCCTGCAGTGCCACAACGATGCCACCCGAAGGTTGCAGGAACAGCAACTCATATTCCGCTTGGGAACCCTGCAGCCCAATGGTATCAATGTGGATTTCACAAGCTTCAAAATCTCCCCTCCCCCTACCGCATCCCAAAACCAGTCCAGCTTGTCCCCACCTCCCTAACCTGTTCTTCCTCCCACCTATCCCCTCCTCCCACCTCAAGCCGCACCCCCATCTCCTACCGACTAACCTCATCCCGCCCCCTTGACCTGTCCGTCCTCCCTGGACTGACCTATCCCCTCCCTAACTCCCCACCTACACTCCCTACCTTTACTGGCTCCATCCCCGCCTCTTCGACCTGTTTGTTTCCTCTCCACCTATCCTCTCCTCTATCCATCACCTCCCACTCTCTCCCTATTTATTTCAGAACCCCCTTCCCCTTCCCCTTCCCCGCCCCCTTTTCTGCACCTTGTTGTCTCAGACTAGTCCCACCTGCCTGCTCCTGCCCATATCCCTCCAGACCTTAGAATGCGAGGTCATAGCTTTTGGATAAGGGGTAGCAATTTTAAAACAGAGATATGGAGAAATTATTTTACTCAAAGGCTCGTGAATCTGTGGAATTCACAATCCAAGAGTGCATGGATGCTGAGACATTGAACATACGTAAGTTGGAGATAGACAGATTTTTAATTAGTAACAGGTTAAAGGGTCATAGACAAAGGGCAGGAAGGTGGAGTTGAGGCCAAGCTGAAATCAGCTATGATGGTATTAAATGGCAGAGCAGGCTCAAGAGGCTGAATTGTCAAACCCTGCTCCTGATTCTTATGCTCCAGTGAGTTGTTTTAATGTCCACCACCATTCATGACTAAAGGTGGCAGGACTGTAGAGCTTAGACCTGACCCATTGGTGAGAAACTGTGGCTCAGTGGGTAGCACTGCTGCCTCAGTTTCAGGGACCTGGGTTCAATTCTACCCTCCTGAGGAGTTTGCACATTCTCCCCAAGTCTGCATGGTTCCCTCTGGGTGCTCTGGTTTCCTCCCACAGTCCAAAGATGTGCAGTTTAAGTGGACTGGCCATGCTAAATTGCCCATAGGGTCCAGGGTTGCACAGGCTGGGTGGGTTATCCATGGGAAATGCAGGATTACAGGGATAGAGTAGGGGGCTGGGTCTGGGTGGGATGCTCTTCAGGGGCGACTGAATAGCCTACTTCCAAACTGTAGGAATTCTATGAATTGCCTAGCACTGTCTACCAGTTGTTGCTTACACTGAATTGGCATGCAAGTAGTCCTGTTTGGTACCACCAGGTTGACACCTCATTTTTAGGTTTGTAACTCACTCAGAGATAGTAAGAACTGCCGATGCTGGAGTCAGAGATAACACAGTGTGGAGCTGGAGGAACACAGCAGGCCAGGCAGAGGAGCAGGAAAGTTGACACTTTGGGTCAGGGATCTTTTTCAGAAGTGGGCACTGGACTACCCCATTTCTAAAGAAAGGCCCCGACCTGAAATGTCAGCTTTCCTGCTCCTCTGATGCTGCCTGGCCTGCTGTGTTCCTCCAGCTCTACACTGTGTTGTCTCATTTTCAGGTTTGCCTGGTGTGGCTATTGGCATGGCCTTCCTGCACTCTCCACTGAACCCGGGTTGATGGTAATAGAACATAGAACATTACAGCAGAGTACAGGCCCTTCGGCCCTCGATGTTGGTTTGATTTGGTGGGGAGGAGGGGGCGGGACGGATGGGAGGGGGAGATATGCTGGGCCATGAGGTTACAGATTGTGCTGGAGTACAATTCTGCTGCTGTTGATGGCCCAATAGTTGCTAGATCTGTTTGACGTCAGTCCCGTTTAGCACGGTGATAGTGCCACATAAGACGATGGAGGGTATTCTCAATGTAAAGGTGGCACTTTGTCTCCGCAAGGACTGTGTGGTGGTCACTCTTACAGATTCTGTCTTGGACAATGACAAATGCATCTGCAGCCGGCAGAATGTCGAGAATGAGGTCAGCTATGTTTTTCCGTCTTCTTGATACTGCTATGACCTTTAGGTCTTAAACAGTTCTGTGTTGCCAAGCCAATCTTGATGGTGGACACTGAAATTCCCCCACCCAATTCTGAACCCTTGCCACTGTCAGTACTTCCTCCAAGTGTTGTTCAACGTCGAGGAGTACCGATTCATCAGCTGAGGTAGGATGCTATATCTGAAGTAGCAGGAGGTTTTCTCACCCATCTTTAATCTGAAGCCATGAGACATCATGGAGCCTGGAACCAATGTTAAAGACTCTCAGAGGAACTCTCTCCTGACTGGACATACCCAGGAGTGGTGATGGTGGTGTCTGAGATAATATCAGCTAAGTTATGAATTGGTGAGTATGACTATGTCAGGCTGTAAGATAGCTCTCCCTCTTTTGGCACTTGCCCACAGTAGTAAGGAGAACTTTACAGGATCAACAGGTTTTGCTGTTGTCACTTCAGGTGTTTTGATCGATACTGGATGGTTCATCTGGTTTTATTTTGTTTTAGAGACTTTCCAGCAATTGATACAACTGAGTGGGAATTGGTGGGCAGTTAAGAGTCAACCACATTGCTGTGGGTCTGGAGTCACATGTAGGCCAGACCAGTAAGAATGGCAGATTTCATTCCTTAAAGGGCATTGATGAACAAGATGGGTTCTTATGACAATTGATTCATAGCCATCATGAGATTTTTCATTCCAGATTTTTATTGAGTTCAAATTCCACTATCCACCAAACACAGGTCCCTGGAACATTGTCTGAGTTTCTGGATTACAAATCCAGTGACAATACCACTAAGCTAACACCTCCTGTACTACAACATCTCTTCATTGCTCCATCGCTGGAGTTGGTGCTTTCAGACAACTAAGTTGTACACTCTGTATGTTCTTTCCTGAAGCTCTCTGTCTCTACATCTCCCACTCCCTCTTTAAGATACTTCTAAAAACCTTCCCCTTTTCCCCGCACAACAAATACGGAGTATTAGCAAGTTTTTAAAGAGCCTACAGATAATTTTCTGCTTAAAAGGTGCAAATAACATCAGTGCAGGTTAAGAAAATATAAAAGAAACAGACAATTCTGAAGAATGGAGTAGTTCTGATCAACTGGAATCATTAACTCGGCTTCTCTCTCTACAGGTGTTGCCAGATCTGAGTACCTGCAGTATTTAGTTTTTATTTCAGATTTCCGGCATCCGCAAGATTTGGTTTTTGTCCTAACATTTTTTAAAACTGATCTAATTTACATAGAACTCAATGGATATTCTATATTCACAGAAAATCAAAAAACATAGAAACATAGAAGATAGGAGCAGTAGGAGGCCATTCGGCCCTTCAAGCCTGCTCCACCATTCTTCACAATCATGGCTGATCGTCCAACTCAATAGCCTAAGCTTGCTTTCTCCCCATAGCCTTTGATCCCATTTGCCCCAAGTGCTATATCTAGTCGCCTCTTGAATACATTCAATATTTTGGTATCAACTACTTCCTGTGGTAATGAATTCCACAGGCTCACCAACCTTTGGGTGAAGAAATGTCTCCTTATCTTTGTCCTAAATGGTCTACCGCGAATCCTCACACTGTGATCCCTGGTTCTAGACACACCCACCATCGGGAACATCCTCCCTGCATCTACCTTGTCCAGTCCCATTAGAATTTTACAAGTCTCTATGCGATCCCTCCTCATTCACCTGAACTCCAGCAAAAACAATCCTAACCTGGTCAATCTCACCTCATGTCAGTCCCACCATCCCCGGAATCAGCCTGGTAGACCTTCACTGCATTCCCTCGAGAGCAAGAGCATCCTTCCTCAGAAAAGGAGACCAAAACCGCACTCAATATTCTAGGTGTGGCCTCACCAAGGCCCTGTATAACTGCACAACTCATCTCCGCTCCTGTACTCAAACAGCAAATGATTTCCCACTTCTCTAGTTAACAGCCACATGAGGTCAGCAATTCTTCGAGTTTAGTGTGTCCCCACCCTAACCAGTGGAATGCTCTATGCTGCTCCTCATAGAATTCCTACGATGTGGAAGCAGGCCATTGGCCCATCAAGTCCACATCGACCCTCCAAAGAGCATCCCACCCAATGCAATCCTTGTAACCCTGCATTTCTCATTGCTAATCTATCTAGCCTGCACATCTTTATACTGTGGAAGAAAACGGGAGCACCTGGAAGAAACCCATGCAGACACAAGGATAATGTGCAAACTCCACAAAGACAGTCGCATGAGGGTGTAATCAAACCTGGCGCTGTGAGGCAGCAGTGAGCTATTGTGCTGCTCATTTTCCTGCTGGTTGCTATTCTCAATATTTTGCAACATTACAGTCATGTTTCCATTTTCTAATATTCATAGCCATCATTGGGCTCGGCTTAATGAATGATCAAAGTAGGTAGAATATAAATTAAAAGTAAAAAATCACAACCTGAATTAAGTCATAATTATATCATCAATATTCCTTTTATTAAAATTTCAGTTACAAACTGCTGCATCAGATAGATCATAACCCTAATGCCATGTTACATTGATATCATTAGATTTGAACTGGTTACACAATGGTAAATTAAAGGGATGGAAATAAATGTGCAGATGCCTCACCATCTTTAAATCAACTCTTCCTTAATGTGGTTAGTAACACAGTTTTGCAGCGATTAATCACACACTTACCCTGAGCTCCTTCTCTCCCTCGCTGATGCTCCCACAGTTGTGACCCTTGTGTTTTCCAAACACAGTGCAGAGGGTGCAGACACACACCTTATCGTCCTTACAGTAAATCTTCAGCAGCTCTTGGTGTTCTGAACATTTCCACTGGGATACGTCTGCAGTGGGATCTACAAGGAGATGGCTTTTAAACACAGAACTCTCTGTGTGATGTCTGAGATGTTCTGGGCACATGGAAGCTTCACACTTCAGGCAGGTCTTCACTGCCGGACGCAGTTTCTCAGTGCAGTAGTTACACAGAACAGCATCCTGAGACAGCTCCAGAGCCAGGTATTTCTGAACGATATTCGCCAATTTAAAGTTCCTCTCAAGGCCGGGTCTCTCGGTGTACTCTGCTCTACATTCGGGACAGCAGTAAGGGGCTGCAGCTGTATCGTTCCAGGTCTCCTCTATGCAGCTTCGACAGAAGCTGTGTTTACAGTTGAGTATCACAGGGTCTGTGTAAATCTCTAGACAAATAGCACAGGTTAATTCCTCCCCTAAAGCCTCCTGGGCTAAACCAGTTGCCATGTTCATTTCGGGGCTCCCTAAAATGCGTGCTGCTGTGTTACTGAAATTTATCTAAATGACAACAACAGCCTAGATCAGCAAAACATCTAGTGTTTGATCCCTTGTGAATAGGGTGTGTAAGTGCACCTATTAGCAGCTATCCATGGCTGATATACTGAATAGTGGGTTTAGGATATTAACACACAGGAACAGAGCAAAGGAGATTCACGAATTCACTTGATAACTAAATAATTGTAACAAAACACATTCTTTTTATTGTCAAAGCAAGTCTAGGTTAATAGGTGTCAATTCGAAATACAATAAAAGGAGGAAACTCAGGATGTCAGGCAGCATCTAAAGGTAATGATGAATGTTAATTCAGGAATATCCCTTGTTCACAATTGAATGATATCATAGAGTGAGGGACAGGAGCTAGACCAAATAACATCAGGGACAGAATAAGCTGCAAGTCGATTCAGTAAAATACACAGAATGAACTGACAGCAACAATGAGAGCAGATGCAATGGAAAATATTGGAGAAATAGAAGAGATGCACAACAACAATTTACACTTAATAAGCACCTTTCATGTAATAAAGTGCCTGAAGGCATGCTACAGAAGATTATAAAAACAAAGCATAATGTCATGCCAGACAAGGAATTTTTTGTCAGGTGACAGAAAACTTGGTCAAATTTGTGGGTTGTAAGAAGTATCTGAAGGAAGGAAAGAGAGCTGAAGACGTGAAGGATGAACCAAAATAATATGGAACTAATAAAGTGAGATTAGTGAAATCACAGAGGGGAGTATGAGCATCTGGCAAAGTGGAGCGGGCGCCAGAAAGATGAAGACTGGTCTAGCAGGGATACAGATCATCTGTCGACAGGTATCCCACTGGGGGATCCTCAACCCATTCATTTCATATGTGTTCTAATCTGTGTGGACTGAAGCCAGAACTGATCAAAATGCAGGTAAAGAACAAGACATATCAAGCAGAGAAATATTCACAATTGGTCTCAGTATAATAGAACAACAGGATGTGAGCCAACACTGGCACTCTCCACAAGGTATTTACCCACTGTATCAGTGGGACTGACTGAGTGGAAGGCAGGAACTTCCAATTGTGCAGAGAGGTAACAGATAGAGGAGGCACTGTGGGCTATGTCTGCCTTAGTCAGTTTAAAAGTAGTGCTGGAAACATATAGATTGTTGCAGTGTACAGGACTTCGAAGACCCTTGTGTGGGATGTACCATCTTTACTAATGTTCATATTAACCATGGATGATGACAATTATGTGTATCCTATTAAGTTTTGCTGTAGAAACAGACAAGCTGTCAAAACATTTTGTCTTATACTTATCAGGATTGAGTCACAAGAACAAGAAATCTCAAAGGGAAAAATCAATTTATAGTGTACAATTGGCCATAGATTCATCCATAAGAGGGCTCTTCATGAAAATGCATCAAACTTTTGTTTAAATTCTTATCTTTCTCTTACTGAATACTCCTACCTTCCTTCCCTCCACTTTAATCTCTCTTTCTTCAACCCTGTGCCTCATACCAATCCATGTAATTATTTTGCTGAATTTCCCCAATCCAGCTCATTCATAACTACTCCCTGGACTCTCCTTGTTCACTCTGTAAGAGACCACATGTTTTCATTTTTGGGATTATAAACTGAAATGGAAGTTGGATAGCAATCATTGAACTATCAGACAGCACATTTCCAAACCTAACCATTGCATAAAAAATATTTTTCTCATGCAGCATCTGGTTTTTTTTCATCAATCACCTTAAACGTTGCCCTCTGCTTATCAACCTATCTAGCAGTGACAACAGTTTCTCTAGTTTTTCTCTATCTAAACCCTTAAACAAGTCAATTAAATCTTCTTAGTTTTCTTTAGGAGAGTTTATTCTTAGGGACAACAAGCTGAACTTTTCCAGTCTATTCATATAACTATATGGAGTAGCCCCCTACTATACTCCCTATACACTCACGACTGTGCGGCCAAATTCCACCCCAGCTCCATTTACAAGTTTGCTGATGACACCACCATTGTAGGTCAGATCTCAAACAATGATGAGAAAGAATACAGGAAAGAGATTGAGAGAGATAGTAGGAACTACAGATGCTGGAGAATCCGAGACAACAAGGTGCAGGGCTGGATGAACACAGCAGGCCAAGCAGCATCATAGGAGCAGAGAGGCTGACGTTTCGGGCCTAGACCCTTCATCAGAAAAGGGGGAGGGGAAGGGGGTTTTGAAATAAATAGGGAGAGAGTGGGAGGCGGATAGAAGAGGGATAGAGGAGAGGATAGGTGGAGAGGAAACAAACAGGTCGAAGAGGCGGGGATGGAGCCAGTAAAGGTGAGTGTAGGTAGGGAGTTAGGAAGGGGATAGGTCAGTCCAGGGAGGACGGACAGGTCAAGGGGGCGGGATGAGGTTGGTCGGTAGGAGATGGAGGTGCGGCTTGAGGTGGGAGGAGGGGATAGGTGGGAGGAAGAACAGGTTAGGGAGGCAGGGACGAGCTGGACTGGTTTTGGGATGCGGTAGGGGGAGGGGAGATTTTGAAACTTGTGAAATCC